AGGCCAAGATCCACATTGTCTAAGGCATCTGCCAGGCAGGCGTTCCTTGCAGGGCAAGCACAGATGAGCCCCCACATGCTCCTACCCCGGTCTAGGCCAATGTGGTGCTGCATCTGAGCCTGGCCTGCCTTACCTAAGCCCGGTGCTTCACACCTTTTCTTCCCCGATCTCTGTGCCACCCCCCGGGACCTGACCTCTGCCCCCTGGCAACACCCCCTTCCCTCCAATGATGCAGGGGTTAGGGGAGATCTTGGGGTGGGGGGCTTCACCTTCAAGTTCCATCACTTCCCAGTGGGTGGATCAGATTCAGAAAAGAAAAACTAGGTCAAGTGAGGAGGTAACTTGCCAGCTATCCTGTAACACTTTGCATTTGTGTGACACTGAACAATTTTCCAAGTATTTCCCCACCTGTTATCTCAGGGCAGGTATTCCCACTCTCAAGTCACAGATGAGGAATCCAAAGCTTAAAGAGGCCAAGGGGGTCCCTGAGGTCAAGGTCGTATGGCCAAGAGGAGAGAGCCAGCCCCAGCCACACACAGGGCTCCTTCTCCATCACTTTTCCACAAGGTTGTGAAAAAGCCAAGCAAAAATAAATCCCATTGAAGGCTGAAGCACCCATTCTGGCCTTAAAGCTCCTCTCCCCCACCTCACTCTCCTGGAGAAGTGGTGTAGATAATAAACACCACTATTCAATATTTATGAAATCCACTTCTCCTGCAAATATATCAGCAGACAGGTTCAGTGGAGGGAACAAATTCTATCAGGAGCTCGTCACACAGCAATCTGTTCCAGTGGCCAGATACAAGCATCTCCCTGAATGATAAACACCCCCATGAGGTGGTGGCAGGGCTGCCTGGCGGGGGCTTGGGACCTCTCCACCCTACCCGACCCCCACCCCCTCCAGGTGCCTGGGGCTAGCCACCCTTACCACCACAGCCTCTCTCTCTGTGTCCTTCATCTCTGCAGAGAAGAGAACAGACAGAAGTTAAGCTTCTTGGACACTCAATTGACCTTAAAATTCTACCCCCACAATGAGATCTTTCCTAAACAGGCTTTGAGCTTGGTATTGCAGGCGCAGCAAAGAATTTTCTGTCTGTAGACGTGTTTGTTGACAGCCTTGCATCTTCTCAGAAAAATACACATACATAATACACAATTTTAAAAAACTTTTGTATTTTTTCCCTGATTATTGTTATTACTGGAAATTAGCTTTTCATTGGTTCTATAGGTAAAATGGAAAAGATGGAGTTGCTACATTTTTTTGTAATGTGGATATTCTTTCCATCCATTCTTTATACCATTTTTAAAAAGTAACTAAGGTGAGAGACAGTTTGTGAAAAATCTCATTTATTAAAATGATCTCATTCAATATGATCGATAACAATTGGAATCAAAATTCTAACTCTGCTTAGCCACGTGCATGTCTCTCACACGCACACCTATGGCTGGAGTGATCAGAGCAATCATTTTTTAAAAACACTCTTTCCCGTCCTGTCTCTCCCTGTAGCCTGGATTCTCCCTGAGGCCACAGCTGTGGGGGCGGTGGCGACATCTCCTCAGATGGACTTTGCTCTGAAATCACTCAGTTCTCCTGGCCTAGGTGACTGCACTCAGAACCCCCTTTCCAACTAGCCTGACCTAAATAACTTGTGAAAATGATCAAATGCATTATGATCTGAGAGAGGCATCTGTCTAATACAGAGCATTGGCTGTCCTCAGGAAGTGTCAGCCCCTCTTGTGCAGCAGCAAGTAGATTCTGTCTGTGCTTAACTCTCAGAGAATTCTCCATTCCCAACCCAGTTGATGGGGAACAGACTTCTAGGTGCTTACGTTGAGCTGATTGGAGGCAATTCTAGGGAGGGAATAGGCAAGACCAAATGAGAGATCTGGGTGGCCAACAGCCCCCCACCCCCTATCCTTGCCTTTCTCCAGCCACACTGACCTGTTTCATTCCATCCATGGATGATGTAGCAGAAAACCCACCAAGACAAGACTGCGACCTGATTCTCCTCTGACTTGAAGCCTTTTATGTAGTGCAACAGAGCAAGAAAAAAACAACAGCAACAAACAAAAGGAAGAGGCACCGTACATACCTCCTTTCTTCACCCTATGGGAGGAAAAAGGCATGGACAGAATTAGCCTGAGACATATATCTAGAGGGAACCTTAACTCAAAAAGACACATGTACCCCAATGCTCATAGCAGCACTATGTACAATAGCCAAGACATGGAAATAACCTAAATGTCCATCAACAGATGACTGGATAAAGAAGTTGTGGTGTATTTATACAATGGAATACTACTCAGCCATAAAAAAGAATAAAATAAGGCCTTTGCAGCAACATGGATGGACCTGGAGAATGTCATTCTAAGTAAAGTGAGCCAGAAAGAGAAAGACAAATATCGTATATCACTTATATGTGGAATCTTAAAAAAAAAAAGACAAACGAACTTATTTATAAAACAGAAACAGACTCACAGATGTAGAAAACAAACTTATGGTTACCAGTCAGGGGAAGGGGGCAGGAAGGGATAAACGGAGAGTTCAAGATTTGCAGATACTCACTAATATATATAAAATAAACAGCAAGTTTATACTATATGGCACAGGGAACTATATCCAATATCTTGTAGTAACTTATGGTGAAAAAGAATATGAAAATGAATATATATATACATATATATATATATATATATGTATATATATATGTTTCTATATGACTGAAGTATTGTGCTGTACACCAGAAACTGACACATCGTAAACTGACTATGCTTCAATAAAAATATTTTTTTTAATTTAAAAAGAATTAGCCTGAGAGCATTCTGCACTGGTACACATGGGACAGCATAGTGGCTTTGGGGCAACTGTGTTCCCCACGATTCAGGGGCTAATTGAAATAGGGGCCAGTGCTGGGGACCCACATGCAGACTGGTCTCCCAGCCCTGCTCCATCACTATTGGTTTGGGACTAAGGAGGCTCTGGGAGTTCAGTAAGTCTGAAAATTACTGCCTTGTAGCACTTCAGGGAATCTATTTCCTCTAACAACACTGACTGAGGGCAAGACAACCCCCATCAGACTGCCCAGCTGTTTCTCCTGACTGGTTTTCCTCCCCCATAGCCAGCTGAGCAGAAGGCTTGGCTCACAGTGGAAAGGTTCAGGAAGATTGGATGACTATCAGTTAAACCCTGGTGTCTTATAACATGAAGAGCTGGACTTGGGCTCTTAAGACCCTTCCCATGATAACCTTGGATTCTATAATTCTGTAACTCTAATTTTATTCTTTGCTATGGGACAAGTGTTAGTTGCCATATGGTACCACAGACTTCCAGAGAGGCCAGGTCTGAGTCTCAATTACTAGCTAGTTTTTCAAGTCAACTGATTGTTGAAAACAATTAATATTTAGAATGTAAACTAAAGCAACCAGGTTCAAGGTGCACATTTAACATTTAACCATAAATTACATGTGAGTTGCAGTACCTATTGGATTACTTCCTTTAAGAACTTCTGCCCAAATCCCATTACAGGGCACCACCATCCTTACAAGCTTAAGCATCACTCTTTCGGAGCCAATTTTTTTTCCAAATCAATCTGGGAGTAGAGTCCAAATAAAAAAGCCTTTTTTAATTTCAGCAGATGCTCAAGGATTTCTTACCTTGAAGTCAAGGTTGCCAATAGCAACGAATGTCCCCGATAAACATGGCAAAATGCAATGCACATCTTTATGCTAATACCTTATACTTTTACACGGTCTTTCATCCATAGATTTAAAATTATTTGACCACACTAGTTAATCTTCAAAATACCTTTAAAAGGCACATGAGTCTTATCACCCCTTCTCTTTGCCAGGGAGAAATTCCAAACTTCAGTTTCCAATACTCCAAGATACTTGGAATCTAGAATCCTGAGCTTACTGGGACTCAGCCGTGGAAAATCATGCAACAAAATTTTTTTTAAAAATAGTGTATTAAGCATCTACTTTACGTCAGGAACGGTGCTAACTGCTTCATTTGCATTTGTTTATTTAATTATTTGGTTTTCAAATAAAGGAATTGAGATTCACAGAGGTTGTCACTTGCCCAAAGCCGCACACCCAGAAAATGATAGAGCCAAGATGTGGACCCCAGCCTTGTCTGCCTCCAAAGCCCAGGCTCAGGACCATCATGTTCTCATTGTAAGAGCTCCTGAGACTCAAGAAACTGGCTCTGGGGAAGCTTGTAACAATTCAGTGCTTTCCTCACTTCACACTAGTCCTCACTTTAGCCAGGAAGAAACACTCGGCAGTGTGTCCCGGTAAGAGGCATATTAGTGAGCAGGTGAGGAGAGGTGATGGGGAAGCAGGCCTGCTTTACAGCCCTTGAGAGGGAGAGATCAGGGCCACGCACGAAAGAACAATGATTACATAGTCACACAAAAGCCCAGTTGAGTCACTGCAGCCAAAAGCTTAATTCCCTTATTAGTTTTTTGTGCTTCCTCTAATTCCATCCCATCCTTTAAATAGTCCACAGATAACAGCACAGCATTTTCTGTTGCTACTCATGACTGGGCTTGTTTCTGAAGCTTTTATCCAGGACAAGGTCATCAAGAGGTGGAAGCCTCAGTTTCACTGAGACCATATCAAGGACAGGGCAGGTGCCAGAGAAAAACCAAAGGAACAGCTTCCTGGCTCAGCAGGTGATGAAGAGGGTACACCAGGATGCCTTCCCCATCACTCCGTTTCCTTCCTTCATTCCAGGCACCCTCTGTACCCTGTAGAGAAATCCTATCTGTCTACCTCTCCTTCTCCTGACATCACCAGAAACAGTGTCCTGGTAAAGGAAGCAGTGGAGGGGCAACTTACAGAGGTTTCTCGTGCTTCTCAGTCTTGCAGGGACAGTGTCTGTGGATGGCTTTGGCCAACAGGACCATCAGGGACACCAGGAGACCCAGAAGCAATATGGAGCCCAGCGTGATGACAAAAGGCACATACCACGCTGATGGAGAATACACGTTCTTCCTCAGGATCCGGTAGGTGATCCTGGGCTTGATGACGGAGAAGGGGAGGGTGAGCGGAGGCTGGGAGTGTCTGACATCAGCACCCCCCACGTCGAGTGTTTGTTCTGCTCTTTGTTCTTGCTCTCTGCATCCGATATCTGTGTGCTCATCATTTTTGCTGCTTCAGCCCATCACCTTGTTTCTAGTCTGGCCTGACATCCATTAGTTCAAAACCCAGAACATGTAGGGAACTGAGAAGCAACTCTAGGCCTAATTTCACTTTCTGTCTTTCTTCTCCTTCCCCAAAGCTGAAAATTCCATTGGCTTTTTTTTCCTGCCAAATCATGGTATAACCCTGGGACTAATATAGCCATTGTCTCCCACTGGGAAGACATGAGCCACAAAAGTTGTTGTTTTTTAACACTTTGTAGGCTTTTCAGTGTTCACTCACTACAAGCTATATGGCTAGTTGAGTGGGCTGTTATCACAGTGAGACCTCAATGTCAGCATTTGCTTCCTGGAGAGGGAGACAGATAACGAACAGGTTATGGAGATTTCTGGATTGGTGATGTCACAACTGGGTCATGTTGAAAGTGGCAAAAAGTTGGCAATTCCTTATTCGGGGTACCTACCTGCTCCTACCACAACTGAAAGCCCTCAGATTACCTAATGCCTCCACTTACTGGGGTAATCTGGACTCAAGCCCACAGGAGAGGAACATTAACCAGCTTTTGGTAAGACTCTGAGAAGCAGAATTTGACCACCTGTCATTGGTAGCTGTCTGAGGGTCTGATTACTCTGGCATACTACAAGTGTGGGACTGCTGACCAAGGGCACAATTCTACTAGGTGCCGGAAGAAAGGGGACAAAAGAGTCAGCTAGTTCATCCAAGGGGCAGGGGGTGATAATCCTCTTGTCAGATTCCAAGACCCTCCATCTTCATCACACTGATTCTTTTATGGTACCTGCTTATTTTCTCCTACTGTTTACGACAACCTGGTGTCATTTTATTCACTTGCACACCTGTTCGTCATCTGTCTCCCCCTCTAGATTGGAAGCTGTCAAACTGAAGCACACATCAGAATCCCCTGGAAGGCTTATTAAAAACACAGATTGCTGCCTGCTTCCCGCCCCTAGAGTTTCTGATTCAGTAGGTCTGGGGTTGTGGTGGGGATTCCAGGTTTCAACATCCTTCCCAGAGGTCGTAGTGATGATCATGGTTGGATGAAGTATAACTTTCATGTTTGGTGGTTGGGCGGCCAAACCACCCAGATTTGGCGGCGGGGAGGTGGGAGCTCAAGATTTTGCTTTCTGAAAATGTCCAGGTCATGCTGATTCTGTGGGTCTGGGGACCACATTTTGAGAACAACGGCCTCTGTTCTAAGCTCCATGACAGCAGGGATCATTTTTGGCTTATTCACCAAAGCACTTGGCAAATTATAGGTATTAAATCAATACTTGTAGATTGAATGTATGACTTTGTTTGGAATGGAGTTGGGGAGTAGGGTATAGATTGGCACCTAGTGACTCTTCAAAAGTGGAGAAGAGCCTCTTCCGGCTCTCACAGATGTGGACTTGCAGTGGCTCTGAAGAGCAAGCAGAGAAGGGGTTGTGAAGGGGGCAACATGTCCATGAAGACCGGCTCCTGTGCCACAGCACCGTGGCTGGTCCATACCTCATCTACCACAAGCCCAAGTATAGACACATGTCCTTCCTTACCAGAATAGAAAAAGTGAATGTTTCTATACACCCAAGGTCTCACCCAGATATTTTTTTAGCACCCAGTGACTACTCCAGTCCAGCCCATGGTTGGCATTCCTGGCAGCATTCTAACACCTCAACTCTTCAGTCCATCCCACATTTCTCCCAGGTCAAGGGGCTCCATCAATATGAATCACAAGGGGTGTTTCTAGGGAGTCCAGATCCCAACACCCTTACCCTGGGGGTTGTAGTGATGATCGTGGTTGGGTGAGGCACAACACTAATACTCAGTGTCACTGTCCCTGTTTGCACAAGAGCCCCAGCTCTCTTCCTGCTGGACAGCAAGTTGTCATCAGTTATGTAGACAAGTAGTTTGTAGTTCCAGATCTTATCACGCCCACTAGCATAGTCAAAGCGAGTCGCGAGGAGCAGGCTTGTCACGTTGGACCCGGCGTTGGGAGAGAAGGTGAAATGACTGTTGATGTTGCCTATATGAGATGTGATACAAGGATTTGGGGAAAACAAGAAAAGAGTATAAGCAACAAAGGTTTAGGAGAAAATCACATTCAGTCTTTTCCTTAAACATCCACACCTCAGACGTAGATGGTTTCTGCTGTACCAGGTCTGGGGCACTAATAGGATATGGGCCTTGGCTGTGCCAGAGATTTCCTTAGTAAAAAGAGACTTCCTTACAATCAGTGTGGCTGCAACAGAAATGAGTAGAGAAGGGCAGCAGCACACCTGTCCTGGGAGCACGGCCGCCATCCTGCTGAGCGTCAGGCAGGGCATTGTAGGAATCCTGGGGCCGCCCACTCTCACCATCAGCATTAATTCGGTAAAAGTGTGTAACTCACGCTCAGACCAATCAGTGGGCATCAGGAGGGAAGAATGGATCACGTCCCTAGCCATGGGCTGAGATCACTCCATGTCTTTCTTGGAAGCTGGCTGTTCCCACTGGTGACGGATGTCCCTGGAGTCCCCCAGAGGAAGGTGTGTCCTGGCTGGGCAGGGACTGCAGTCCTTGTATGCGCCTCCGCCCATCATCGTTGGGGCTGAAAGCACACGGCTTAGGGGGCCTGGAGCAGAGAGGCTGCCCCTCCCCTCAAGCATCCCTTGCTCATTCCTCCAGTGGCTCCAGACTCATTACCGACTGAAAATCAGTAAATGGAGCAGGGGATGATGCAATTTTTACTCCCTTAGCAATGAAGTGCCCCATAAAGGCCTGAGGGTCCTCAGTATGGATTATTTCCATCTCTGGCAACGGCATTCTCCAGGCAGGCTCTGCCCCGGGGTTTTGTGACACAGGCAGCTCGAGAGGCTCCCTGCTGCTCAAGTTCCTGCTCTGCCAGGGCTCAGCAGGCGGCCAAGCTGGATTTTTACTCTTTCACATGAAATTGCTCTGCTTGTTTGGGTTTAAATCTCTGGCCCCGGCACTTCATTACATGAGCTATTTTGGTCTCATTTCCATTGAGGGGTGCTCTTTTTTCCCCCACAATGATATATTTTTAAAGAGAGAAAATGAATGGAGCAGAAGAGAATTCCTGAGGACACGTTTCAAAATGAATTTAATCTATTTAATCTATTATTATCTAGAGAGAGGACTGGAATCCCCTGCCCCCACTACAAGCTTGCGGGAAAAGAGGTGGTGGAGGAGTTGGACTGAAAATGTTTTAACTACACGAATCTGATTCATGGATCCTATGACAGGCTGGGAATTTGTGGTGGTGGTGGGGCACCGTCAATGGGACTCACCCTCCCCTGGGCCTTTGGGCAGCCACTTATGGGAGTCTGGGAAGAGTTAGGTGAGAAGGGGAAGCCAACAGGAGGACTGGGAGGTCAAGGACTCCTCATCCCTGCTTTCCTCTTTCAAAATACCCCACCCTGACGCGCTGGGCCCGATGAGTCTGTGAGCATGGACCCGCACCCTTCTCCCTAAACAGCTGCGAGGGCCTCCAACACCAAGGGCCTGCAGAAGGGGTCCAGGACACTGGACATCAATGCCATACCTGGGCCAATGGAGTAACGAAAAGACCTGGGGCTGGAATCAAGGTCAGTACACGTCAGCTTGAAATTTTGAATATTTGTGCCAACTTTCAGATCCACTGGAACAGCCAGAAAATAAGAGTTGGGCGTACAAATTGGCTTTTCATCATTTTCTTCAAGGATGTTCACAGTAACCTAGAACAGCAAGAAAGTGGCCTTACTGAGAACTTATCCTTGAGTCCTTACTGTGTGCCAGGCACCGGGCTGTGTGCTTTTGTGGACTAGTGAGGTTTAACCTCACCCAAGAGAGACAATATGATTATTCCCATTGTACAGATGAGGAAGCAGAGGCTCAGGGAGATTAGGTAATTAACCTAAGGCTAATCGGTGGGTGAGTGGCAGAGCTGAAATTTAAATTCAGGTCTGTCCTACTTCAAGTCCTACGCTATTAACTTCTGTAGTGTGTGTATGTGTGTGTGTGTGTGTGTGTATGCACGTGTACATAATATAGGCATACATTCACACACACCTCCACACACATGCACCTAGACACATGGGCTCAACTCCCAGATGATGCTGAGTTGTTTTTTCCAGTAATGATTGATGGTGACCCCTGTGCATCCTTGCTCACTGCCCTCGTGAATTGGAAGTTCCGTCTTTACCTTTGGAAGACAGAGCAATGACTCTCAACCCTGGCTCCGGACCAAATGAATCAGGACCCTAGAGGATGGGACCCAGGTCCGTTTTTTATGTTCCCCAGCTGATTGTAACGTGCAGTCTGGGTTGAAAACCACTGGGAGAGAAGACGACCTGGCTTAGCCGGGGTCTCGTCTGTAACCCGGGCTGTCCGTGTCATAGCACTGCACTGAGCTGTGGCGCTAACTGGCCACAAGCCGGGGCCAGCCTGTTCTCTTTTATCTCTGTCTTTTATGCCGGGTGACTTGGAATATGGACTGGGATGCCTGCCAGCACAGAATCATAGAATGTCAGCCCTGAAAGGGACTTAAGTGATCATCACCCTTTTTAAAGGCTTATGAATTTTGAGTCGTATTCATTTTACCTTTGAAATTTGGGGATTTCAGCTATTTCTGAGCCCAGGAATAAATTGAAATGTTCTCTCTAGTTAGCTCCCAAAGTGGACTCCATTCATCCCTCTCAAAAACCAAGCCTAACAAACACGACAATTATCTTCAACTTAGCACATCTTTTCCTCAGCTAGCAATGCCGAGCCCCACACATCATTAAAAACATCGTCCCACTAATTCAAAGCAAGTCATCAGAGGGACTGGACTATTCAGGCACTGGGCTATGAGGTGACTCTCCGTGTGCGTGAGAAAGAAATCAGGGTACAAAGATAAGCATTGCTTAGAACCCCTTGGAAAATCGGGATCAAAACTGAGAAATGAACTCTGCCTCCTGACTCTAAACGGTCATTCTCTCTGTCACACAGGGCTGCCTGTCGCTAGCCGAGTTCATTTTGTCTTACGCTTTTTCCCTTTTACTAACTGGAAAGACCACGAAATAGTTTCCTCTTTGTAGCCATCATATTACCCTCAAATAGTGCGAACCACTGGCAGCACAGCCCTGAGAAACCCTGGCTCCTCAAAGTCTGGCTGTCAACCATCTGCCTCAGTACCACTTGGAACTGTGTTAGAAATGCAGACTCTCAGGTCCTATTCAGACCTACCGACTCAGCAGTGCATTCAACCAGACTCAGCGGCAGAGGTGTCAAGCCACATCTTTTAAAGATGTATCCTGTCTGGCATGATGGAGGTGGGGTAGAAACAGGTGGGGTAAAACCACATGGTGGGGGTGAGGGAATGGATAGCTGCAGCCCACCGTGAAAGCAAGGGGAGATTTAAAGGACAACAGGACAGAGCTTGTCCCCCAGAGGGGTCATCCATCTCAGCGCTCCCCTGGTCACCCACAAACGTGGGCTTACAGATGTCAATCTTGATTTCCCGGCACTGCTACGTGTGTCCGATTTTGCCATCCGGGACACCGCTAGCCATTTCTTGTCCCGTTTGCAGGACATGCCCTATTAAGACTCCATACACTGCAGCCACACCTGGAAGGTGCCAGAGAGACCCAAAGTCAACCAGTCGGGCTGGTGTAAATGCACCAAATAGCCCCACTCACAGAGACTGAGCTGCTGTCCTCGCCGTTGGTGGCCTGGATTCTGAGAATATAGATGGGGGTTGTTTCGTAGTCTGCTCTAGTCACCAGGTGGAGTCCTCCCGTTTGGGGATTAATCCAAAATGTGTTTGGGTACCGCAGGCTGGCTCCTCCGGTGGAGATGGAGTACACGATGCTGCTCTGGGGGAAGTCTTTATCTGACGCTTGCACCTGTCCAACCTGGGTTCGAGCTGGAAAAATAAAGTACTTGAGATTAGTCCTGAGAATAGTACCTGAGATTAGTCCTCCTTAGAGGAGGAAGGGAGGAGCCAGGAGCAGACATTCTAAGTGCCATGGGCAGAAAGAATTTTGGAGGCCTCTCTGCTGTTCAAAGGCCGCATGTTTTACATCTTCAATTCTATTAAATTCAGATTACGCTAACGACACCCACTAGGTAACTGGGCATATGATCCAGGCAGTCCTGTGAGGTGTAAAAGACAGTTCATGCCTTTATATAGACTCTAAGCACGCCAATTATTCTTTGATCATAACATTGCAGAGAACATCCTCACAGATACACCTTTTTTGCAACAGTGTTATCTAAAGTCTGTTTTATTTTTCAAATTTTCTGTAATGAGGATGGATTGCTCTTACAAACAGAACGAAAAATCCACAGTCTTTAAGGGTTTGGCAGCAGATAATTACAGAGTATTTCTGATTTTTGATTTTTAACTCCTATTCCATTTTGCTTCTTTTATAAATCTGGTTGGTGGGGCTGCTGGAGTTCTGGCTTGCTTGTTTTGTAGAAGTTCTTTCTTCCTCATAAATTATACTACTCAAGGGCAGAACCATCTCTTATTCAACTATGTAGGCTGGCACTAAGTGCGTGACCCAAAGTAGGGGATTAATAATTGTAGTGAGATCTGGGAATTCATAAAAAACATAGTTCCTTTTGCATTTGTTATTGACTTGGATACGGCATAAGGAATTAAAAGCACTTTCTTCAGACCCTCTTTTTGTGTGTTGTTTAAACCGTAATATCGAGAATGGAGCTCATTATAAAGAGAGAGAATGAAATGGAGAGATCATCTTAGAGGCAGAGTCTGGGGTTTGTTTGGCTTGAGTTTTAGTTTAGAAGTACCCATGATCGAAGGGATAAATTAAGAGTTTAGGATTAACATATACACACTACTTTATCTAAAATAGATAAACAACAAGGACCTACTATACAGCACAGGGAACTATATTCAATAGCTTGTAATACCCTATAATGGAAAAGAATATGAAAAAGAATATGTGTATATAACTGAATCACTATCCTGTACACCTGAAACCAACACAATGCTGTAAATCAACTATTTTTCAATTTAAAAAAAAAAACTTTCACAGCATCAAAAAAGAAAGAAAAGAAAAGAAGTACCCCTGATCAAAGAATCAAAGGCTGTGGTGAAGCCTGATTATGCTAGAATTAATGGTACCCCCTCCAAACTGGCAGAGATGGGGAGAAAGTGAGCTGGACGTGGAGAAAGAGCCTGCAGACATCGTGTGCTAAAGGGTGAAAAAGAGGCCTCCAGGGAATCCTAAAAACAGAGAGAAAACGCCTTTATTTTGTTTTTAAATGAAAGAAATTTAGAAATAGGAAAACTTTTCTCTATTTTTAAATTTCAATTCTCAGAGTGAGCTGGATAAAAATCACAACAGAGACCAAGGGAAAACTTAGGCAGCAAAAAGAGCGGATTAGCGGAATCAGACCCAGACAGGAAGCAATCAGGGGCTTCAGAGAAATGCAGTTTAATCAACAGTTTTCAAAATCTAGATTTCACCTGAAGGGCTCCTCAGCGGTGAGGACAATTTGAAAAGAAGTAAGAGATGCAATAAACAGGAATCAGCTGTGAGTCGCTGTGCACAGCACCACGGGGGCCTCTGGCAGGGAGCTTCCCTCCGCCCAAGTGTGTCAAGATGAAGGGGTCTGTTAAGAGCGCTTTGGTCTGCGTCTTGTCTGTTACATACCTGGGCTTAATTCTGACACAGCAAATACGTAGGATGGGCTGTTAAAGACAAGAGGAAACTCATTTTCTGGGCTTGTTAGGATATAAATGTAGATGTTATCTAAAAACAGAAATAGGAAAACAATTAAATCACAATACAGGCATCCCTCGTTCTATTTCACTTCACTTTACTGTGCATTGCAAATATCTCGTTTTCACAAATTAAAGACTGTGGCAACCCTTAGTTGAGCAAGTCTATCGGCACCACTTTTCCAACAGCATTTGCTCACTTCATGTCTCAGTGTCACATTTTGGTAATTCTTGCAAATTTCAAACTTTTTTGCTGTTATTGTATTGTTATGGTGATCTATGATCCATGATCTTTGCTGTTACTATTGCAAAAATAGTATGACTCGTGGAAGATTCAGATGACAGTTAGCATTTTTTTTTAGCAATGAAGTACTTTTTAATTAAGGAATGTCCTTTTTTTTCAGACATAATGCTGTTGCACACTTAACAGACTACCAGATAGCGTAACTATAACCTTTATATGCATTGGGAAGCCAAAAAATTCATGGGACTTGTTTTATTGCTTCATGTGGGGCCAAAGAGTTTGCACTTGAACTTGACAGCTATGGGGAGGGCTTTAAGCAAGGGAGTAACATGACAGCATTTGCATGTCCTGAAAAATCACTGTCAGAAATGTAGAAGTTGCGTTGGAAACGGGCAAGACTAAAGGCAGGCAGAAAGATCCTTGAAAGACTCTTAGTGTTACAATTCAGCTATGAAAGAGGAGGTCCTGCATTTGGGCAGTACTAGTGGGATAGGGTAGGGTGGAGCAGGGGATTGGTGCAGAAGGCAGCAGATCCTTGAGACTTTAGTAGGTGACACAGAAGAAGGGATTTGGAGACTGATTAAATGTGCTTGGAGAAGGACAGGAGGAGGCTGGGCTGATTCCCAACTGTTTGGGTTTTTGGAAGTCTCCTTTTGAACACAAATACATAACCAGCCCAAGACTGAGAACTGCCCACACCACAGTTTGTCACTGCTACTCAAGGAATGCTTCATAAAATAAATTAAAGTGATACTTGCTTTTATAGTAAGGAGGGGCAATATCCTGCACCTGGATTATCATGGTGTATTTATTGCCGGCTGCTAGATTACTTGGATTTTCATAATCTAGATCACCAATCAACTAGATGAAAACAGAGAGATCAGATTACACAGACTAAACAATCTTTTAAGATGAACCAACAAAGACATTTTCATATACTGTTAGTGGATGTGTAAGTTGCAAAACCTTTCTGGAAAGCACTTTTCCCATATGAGGAGCTTTAAAAAGTTACGTCCATCCCTTTGCTCACTGCTAGCGAATTTATCCGGAAGAATTTACCAGGAGAGAGAATCTCTGTTTAAAGACGAGCATCAAGCACTATTGCCCAGCAGAGGCTCAAGACTTCAGACAAACCAACGAGAAGCACAATATAGAATCCTATATGCAGGGATA